TAACGTTCTGTGGCGGGTTCTACGCTCGGCGAACGCTCTACAAAACGCTCAAACATCTAAATCGCATTGTATTCAATGGTCTGGTTCCCACCTCGGCACCCGCCCGTCCCTAACGCGCTACAAAACGGCCCGCGCCTGGAAAGATCCAGGGACTACTTTGGGCCGTTTTGTTGCGCGTTTCCATTGGGATACAGCCAAGTAGCCTTCGGGGTCGTGGAAAATATGCAATACGCCTGGGTGTGAACGAGACCTAAGTCTTACATTTGGGGTTAGGTCTGGTCAGACCTAGTGTTAGAGATAGCGTTAGGGTTAGACCTGGCGTTAGGGTTTAGACCTGGCGTTAGGGTTAGACCTGGCGTTAGGGTTAGACCTGGCGTTAGTGTTAGACCTGGCGTTAGGGTTAGACCTGGCGTTAGGGTTAGACCTGGCGTTAGGGTTAGTCTTGGTGTTAGGGTTAGACCTAGTGTTAGGGTTAGAGCTAGTGTTAGGGTTAGAGCTAGTGTTAGGGTTAGAGCTAGTGTTAGGGTTAGACCTGGCGTTAGGGTTAGACCTGGCGTTAGGGTTAGACCTGGTGTTAGGGTTAGTCTTGGTGTTAGGGTCAGCATTTTGCAGCACACAATAAGGTCCAGCACATGTGATAGGAGCTTCTGTACCCTCCAGAGACATATAAAGTCCGTTGTACCTGTGCGATCACCTCGACTCCAACTCCTCCATCCACTGAAATGTATTTCACCAAAATATTGGGACTGTCAGGGAGTCTCTCGGGGTCACTCGGGGTCACTCGTCTCTCGGGGTCTCTCGTCTCTCGGGGTCTCTCGTCTCTCGGGGTCACTCGTCTCTCAGGGTCACTCGTCTCTCGGGGTCACTCGTCTCTCGGGGTCACTCGTCTCTCGGGGTCACTCGTCTCTACAAATCTGACAACATGGAGACAGGAATGTGTCAGCAACAGATGAGGTGACGATCCTACAGGTACCGAGAACTCACCGGCGACAGAATCCACCGACAGCTCCAGGTCTGGCCCCTCCTTCTGCGTCATGTCACATGGTAAGGTGGAGGTTCTTCAATCTCATGGGATGGTGCCGGCTAATCTGCCAAAACTAGAATGAGAGGAACCCCATCACACCCCCAACATAGAGAGACAACTATAGATCCTGGTATAGAGACAACTATAGATCCCGGTATAGAGACAACTATAGATCCCGGTATAGAGAGACAACTATAGATCCTGGTATAGAGAGACAACTATAGATCCCGGTATAGAGAGACAACTATTACCCGCACCCCGAGCCCACCACATAGGGCTGCCCGACCCAGCCATTACCCGCACCCCCGAGCCCAAAATCTTGAGCCAATCAATGAACCCCCCATCCAGGCCATATTTGCCAAGAAGGAGCCATAGGTACTCATGTTTAACCCGATCAAAGGTCTAAGCCCTCGGTCACACCTGAACGTTTTGTAGCGGGTTCTACGCTCGACGAACGCTCTACAAAACGCTTAAAAATATAAATCGCATTGTATTCAATGGTCTGGTTCCCACCTCGGCGTATTTCCGCCCGTCCCTAACGCGCTACAAAACGGCCCGCGCCTGGAAAGGTGCAGGTGCTACTTTGGGCCGTTTTGTTGCGCGTTTCCATTGGAATACAGCCAAGTAGCCTTCGGAAACGTGCGTTTGTTGCGCAACTTTTCTACCGCGAATCGCGGTAAGAAAAGCGCGCGCCGGTCACGCGACAGACGTGCATATGCAATACGCCTAGCTGTGAACGAGACCTTAGCCTGATCCAATGTCAGCAGAAATTTACCCCAACCAGCATCCTTACAGCGCTCCAAGGCCTCCCGCCGTGCTTCTACCATGGACCGAGCCATGCTGGTGGCGGGATAACAAACCGCCTGCCACTGGTGATAATCGCCAGAACAAAATCTTTGCAAGTATCTTTCAATCGACATTAAGAAGGCTAATGGGGCGCCAGTTCCCAATCATGGAAGGATCACTGCAGATTGCATCATAGGGAGGGGGGGAACCCTCATGCAGACAAGGTAGGGAGCCAGGATCGTCTTATAAAGCTCGGCTGTCACACCCTCTGGCCCCGGCGTTTTCTAGGATCATCTGCAGTGATTTCATCAAAGGAACATTACTTTCCAGGTGTAGAGTCCAAAAAATTTAACATCCTTGCCCGATCCAGGCTCCTTCCTCCCAGGAGATCGG